TAGGTCACTTTGATGTCCAGAGCTTATAATGCACATTTTCTTAACTTAAAAAATAACACAGGTTTAGGACATTCTGGAGAGTTCCAGAAAGGCCTTTTTTGTTTAGAAAGCAACCTATACATTTCAGAAAATGATGCAAATCACATCATAATATAAAGCGTTTTCTGAAAATTACCAATAGCCTTGAACATTCTCTGTCATATCTGGTATAATAATTAATGGCTTCAACAAATGGAACATATAGGCTCTGGAAAAATAGGTCCACCTTAAATTACACCTGAGTAAAACCCAAACGTATCAAGACAGTTGGGTTTGTGGGTATCATTTAATTTCATGAAACATAGCCTGTAAGTTAAAAAAGAATAATTCTTGTATGTTTTAAAATAATGAGTTAGGTCCTGTGTGTGGGAAAGTAGTGTGCAAGTCCTGGGTAAGAAACCTCCACATAACGAAAAAAAATGCAAAATTACTAGTAAGCTCTAGTTAACTATGAAAATAATGTTACAGTATGCCCTTAACATTGACCAAAGCTATGATTTTATAATATGTGGGAGACAGACTAAAGAAGTTATGGATTATACGTAAACATAACTGTGAAGTTCTGTGTGTTATACTTATAGTTTTGTATAAGCAACTGTACACACACTGAAAAATACACTGACTGCTGTAGAAATGCTGGGTATTAAGTTTGTGTAATGTGATCCAAACTTTTGTATTGACATTTCAAGACTATACTCAACATTCCAATACAAAAAGACATCTGTAAAGTCAAGAAAATATATTTGGTATTACTTTTTCTTAACTCTTAGGCTTTCATACTCTGTTTAATCTTTTGTGTATAAGACAAAAACATAACAGGCTTACATAGATTTGGTCATTGCAAAAGCGCTTCTGCATCTCGTAGAGCAGGCTACTGTCAGTCAATTCACTGAGGGATGCAAGGTCATCATTGGGAGCTGGAGGCATCAGCTTGACCTAAGGAAACACAATAAATTAAATATGAATTCAGAAAGAGGGGTTTAGCTATTTTTAATGTTGCTCCCCTGTTACAAAAGTGTAAAAACACTTTTTCTGGTATTTTATCTTCACTTTTGGCTTTTAACATCTGGAATAAGCATTGTGTTGAATTTTGAAAGATTGACTAAACAGGGCTTTATGATAGAGTTTTTGTGTTTAGGCTTATATAATAAGCTGATGAAGATTCTCAGTCATCTTATATATCATCACTTATATATTAAGGCTGTGTCAAAGCAGAGGTGAACTCTCTTAATCAAATAGTTGGTAACTGGTTACACTAGATATTATTTAGCAGTATCACGGATGCTGAATATATTAATTAGCCACCTTAACATATCTTTTAAATTGTAAAAAAAAATTAGATATCAAATTTACATCCACTACAACTGCTAACTTATGTATGTTGCAGTTTATTAAAGGAGCAATAAGTAAGAAAATCATTCTCATCTGTCACCAGACCTGAAAGTAACATGTCATGATCTGCCCAGATAGCTGATCTTAATTGTCACCCACCTGCCTAATTCTGCCCAGTCTCTAATTATCACTCATCTCATCCACCTGCATCTGTTGCTTTATATCCGGCTCAGCCCAGCTATCGGGGCCAGGTCATTGTTTGATTGTTGTACGTCTGTTTCCTTAGTTTTTGAGTTTATTCCAAGGTTCATGTTCCCATCCCCGGAGGCCAGTGGGTTGAGAGGGTTACAGTGTTTGTCTTGTCTCCTTGTTGTGTTTTGGGTCTTTCCCGCTGAGTTTAAAGTTTTTCACATATCCTGGTGTCTTGTCTTGCCTCCGTCCCTCAACTCCTGAGCCTGCCTGTGCATATCTGCCTGAGCTTGCTTCTGTGAACCTGCCTGAACACTCTGTGGATTCCTAGAACCCTGGATATGTCTGTTTCTGTGCGATTCGGAACCCCTGACCAGCCTGCAGACTTCTGGATTCCAGAACTGTCCTGCCTGATCTGTTTTCCCTGAGCTGGATTGAATTCCTGCCTGTTCACTGAGGTTGCCGCAGCTCCTTATTGCTCCTTTAGGCTTTAAATTTCAGTTTAACTTCAATATAACAATTTTCTTTATAATCCAAAGGCACTGTAAGAAGGCTCATCATGAAATGGACTGTGAGGCAAACTTACCTGCTCAAGCTTGCTGGGTCCAGAGCTAAAGGGGCTATCGAGGCCATTATCCTGAGAGGGTTGTTGGCTTAGTGCTCCACTTGCCTCTCTGAACATTGTACACCTCTCTAGCAGACTGTCCCGCTTAGAGATTGAGAGACCAAGCGGGTTCCTTTTTAACAAACAACACGAGAAGTAAAGAGATTGTATAATAGGCAACATGATACCAACTTGACAGTATATTGAAATGTAATATTAATTATAATTAATCATAATTTACAGAGTACAAAAGAAAACTGTGCACATGCAAGAGTTAACCCACAAAGTCTTGAGAGGCGTGCTGAAATCGTAGGAGCCCCCATCATAACGCTGATCAGTAGAAGGTTGGGGAGCAGTGGGATCTTTTAGTCTCTGCAACCAGCTCTCTTCTGCATTCAGCAGCATCTCTGCTATGGGTTCTGACACAGCAAGATCTGTTGATTACAAAAAAAATAAATAAATAAACATCAGATTAGCATACAAATCTCACATTCCCAAAAAAATCTTTAATTTCATGTACTGCAGATCTCAGGCTAGTGTTCAACTTCCTTATCTTTCTTTGGAAGCAATCAAAAATTTATTTCTAAGGTGAAGACGACAGTCCTTCTCTCAATATAATCAGTTCTTTAAAATTAGTTTGATAACACTTTACTTATAGTGTGAATCAATCCAATGAAACAGAGGAGATGAGGTTTAGGATTTCACTGACTGTAATAATCCCTAAGAGAGCCTAAAGGAGAAATTATTGGTTTGGGATTTTATTATTTCTACATGACAGACAGCACCCCTGATAGCTATCTCTTGTAATTTTTTTCCCATGGTTTGGAAAAATGAAAAACATGCTGCTCTAAGTTTGAAGTATGCCGATTGTCTCAGCCTTTTGGAATTTGTCTCTGTGTTTTTTTCTCTACATCCAAGTATGGCCTGTTGATTAAGATCAGAGTTAATTAGTCACAGGCTTGACTAAATTCAGAGAGTTAATAACCGGCAGCCAAGGCATTCCATCCTGCAAAAATGGAGGTTAAAAGATAAATCCAAAAGCTCCAGTAGGACACATTTCATCACCGTCACACTGCACTGAGCTCCAAACTCTTTAGATTAGCATGTCTGTATATTTGTTCATGGAGTGAGAGAATCTTTTTGGATTTAGTGACACTATAACCACAGATGTCGGTTTTATTTTAAAGGATAGACCAAGAAAATTGTTCATAAATATTGAGTGGACAGGAAATTGTACTTTGCAGTTTAAACATGAGTATATGAACATTTTAAATAAGCCCTGAAAACAAAGTAGATTTTTTTAACAAACAAAAATATTTAGTTTTTATAAAAGGCAACTGAAAGAACATGTTTTACCTTTGTTGTGATCAATTGTCGCTGATATAACCGAAACTACTCCCCTCTGAAGACACACCCCTCTGGCGGAGGTTTTAAAAGAGCCAACTCCCTGTTTTAACATTCTATTTTGCAGGTGGCCCTGTGCCGCTAAAGTCTAGTCTGAGAGCTCCCAAGCTGAAGCCTATGCTAAGTAGCAACCAAATCCCTCCAAACAAGTCTGCGTTTGGTGGACCGAGTCAGACTGCCTTTTTCCTGCAATTCAGAAAGAGGCTGAACTCAGTGATTTATTCTTCCTGTGATTCAAACAGAGTTGAGCGCAGTGTTTCCTGAATCAGTAACTAAGCAGAGACAAAGATGAGCTAATCCAGCTCTGCTAACCTGAACCTGACCGCCGAACAAAAGGCCCCCCAATTGCTGTTTGCCAAAGGATCCAAGGAAGCCCCCAGACCCGTGACTGCCTGAGAAAGAGCAGCACCAAGGAGGTGCTGCAGAAGGCTGTGGCTACAAGCTCACCACCGTATCTAAAAGGGAGACGTCCCGTGCTACCATGAGTTATAAAATTTACCCCCTTGCAAAATTGACTTTTATTATTGCATTGGATTGATCCAAATCTCTTTGAGCTGCTGTTGGGCACGGACTGGACTGCTGACGCGGCGTGCAGAAAACCGACAGAGCCGAAGGCCTTCACTCCACTGAACCAAAACAGTAACATCATCCTTCCCCCTGTTTTAATAACCTTTATGATTCAACTGCTGATGTTTTTCAGAGTTTTAACTGAATGCTAATGTTCAATGTGTTGTTTAAGCTAACTCCTGCATTTGAATGGCTAGCATTGTAGCTCCAGCTACCTCATGCTGAACACGTTATAGAGGCTACATTGTGAGCTTACCCTTTCTATTTTTCAGTTGGACCTGACCAGACCAAAACCAGAATCCCTGGGGCCAGCTAAGCTAAGCTAACGGGTCTTTAAGCCTCATTGCTGCTTAATGCAAGTCATTATTCATTTTTCACCATAAAACTGAACAAAAAATTCACTGTTTTGCCTGCAGTTAACATCTCTGCGACAGTTTATTTTTTTCACATTTATCTGTTGCTATTTTTAAAGGACACTTTCAAAAGCATTAAGCCTTAAACTTCGACTTTTAAACTCCTCTTTCCCTTTTATTTCTTTATTTTCAGTAGTGTTTAGTGTCTTCTTAGTCATTACATATAATACTGTGTGATTGCAGCTAATAAAGGTACCATTGTATTTTTGTGTTTATTTTACACAATGTACAATTTATCACTCAGGCTGGATTCACTTTTTTTAGTAGCATCGGAATGAACATATTTATTTGGTTGGTGATTACAACGTTGCTGATAGCCATAGTCTAAATTACTAAATTGGTGAAAGACAACTGGAACACCTAGATTCAGGAGACCAACCTTTGAGGTAAGAGGCTAAAACCCTGGTCAGTAAGCAAATTTAAGCTATAATCATTCAACTGATAATAATTAATAGTTTTACACTTGATCTTAAAGACCTATTCATTAAGTATAAATTCCAGTTCTAGTTATTTAATATATTCATAATTTTCTGATAAACTCTCACAACACCTTGCAGCTAATGTCTAAACTAATTAAAAAAGTATAACTGGGTCTGACCTAGGAACTAAGCCTGTCCAAAAAGATTTTATGCTCAATTGCCTTTCAGGTCTTAAAAAAGCCCAACAATGTAACCTAAAAAATTCACCCTTGCTTTTAAAATATTCTAGTCTGTAAATATTTTGTGCCTTTAACGTTTAAATATATTAGTTTAAAAAAATAAATACATTTAAGCATTTCTTAATTTTGCCTTTCAGGGGTGCTACACAAGTTACCTATATACATTATTTATTGATGTCTAGTTTCAAACCACCACAATAATTTCATGTTTGAATGGGCTCTTTAGACATACAAAGGACACTTTTTATAGGGAAAAATTCCGGCTTATATATTTCCCTTTCACTTCACAATTAGCTTCGACTTTTAAGGCCTTTCATATGGACAAGATGGCTGCCTAAATGTGGTAAGTCACCTTTGCTGTACAACAGGAATATCACCAGATATTATCCTCAAAGAATTCTGGACTTTAATGTGAATGCATACACTTCTGCATGTGAAAACAAAGTTACTAACAATTCTAAAAGAGTTAAAAAAGAATCCACTGGACTTTTTTTCCAAGTTTGAAGACGTTTCGCTTTCCACCCGGGAAGCTTATTCAATTCAAAATGTCAGAAATAGCGTTAAGTTTGAGGCTTTATAGAGTGGACCAAAAACAAAGCCTTGTTTTGGGTTAGGAAATATGCAAATTAAACCGGACGAATGGGTCCGTCCCTTTGGAATGTGGGTCGTTTGGGTTCATTGTTAGCCTGCCATACCCGATACCTCTCTATGTCTCAGAAAGGGTGGTCAAGAGAGGGAATTGTTGGCCTGGCTGAACAGGCGAGTTGTTCTGTTCCAATGTAAGAGGGTGAGGGTTGCGATGATATTGGGAAGGAATCAACTCAATTGCTGCACGTTTTTTTGAAAGCTGAAATCTTTCAGAGTCCAGTCCCTCTGTTTAATTGTTTTTTCTTTCTTAAAACCGATGGCTTCCTTCACACCCATCTCAAACCACCTATCTTCTTTATCAAAAATGTGAACATTCTGAAATAGCAATATGACTGACATGCTGGGGACCAGAGCAGTGTGTCTTAGCCTGCAGCTAAAAATTTGCTTAAAAGATTGTTTAGGGAATTCCAAGCCCTATACTGATATATCTTATCCCAAACTATACATGGTCTTCCTGTTTAGTGCTTTAACAACAACTTTACTTACACATAATTCTATTTCAACAGAAGCATTAGCTGCCATAAAGGAGAAAATAAGGCTTTTAAAAGAGATCCATAATCACATATCAAACACATGCATAAATTTCAGGTGTATGGTTCAGTTGTGACTTATTATTTATTCATATATTTCCTAAAGATCGGCGGCTACCTGTCAAAACAGGAACAGATGTTCACCAAAAACATCTGAGAACAAGTATTTAGCACAAAACTGCCCTAATTATTTTTTCCCCCTGTGGTCTGCTTAAATAAAGCACAAAACAAAGGATATTCTTAGATAAGGACAGAGATGTTGTTACTGTAAAATGTTTTGTAACACCCTCTATATTTTGGTATTGTGCTTATATGCAAAAGCAACATGCACACATATATGCACATGTATTTATGTCTTAAACAAAACGTATCCCTTTACTTATTCTGCTTTATATATTTCAACTTGGTTGAACATGTTGCTCTGTCCAGCTGTAGTGTTGTTTTTTATTTTCATGCTGACATACTTTATCAGTGTGAATTTGTATGTTGAGCGTATTACCAGATGGCTTGTCTTGGTTGCAGTTGAGCAAAGTCGGGTTTGCTCCATACCTCAGGAGCTTGCAAACAATGCTGATCTGTAAAAAACAAAAAAACAAATAAAACATCATCTGTATTTTTGTAATATCTAAGAAAAAGAAATGATTTGATGGTTGAGTGGAT